TTTTTGAAGAAATAAAGCCGAAAATAAATTTTGAAGCTTAACACCTACAAAAATTCCTTTTTGAGTTTCAATGGTTCTCGAAAAAAGTCAAAATTTTCATAAAATTTCATTGAAAAAATGGACTTGGAAAGTTGTCTAAAATGCAATTTTGTTTGCCACAAATTTTGTGACTTCGAAAATCCGTTCATACTACTGAAACAACCAAATACATATATGTATATAGATTTTGCACATATGTTAGCCTTAGTTTTTTAGACATATTTAGTGTCCCAGATAAATTTTCGCGGCCTTGTATCTTCAGAACGGATAAAGATATTGAAATTCTATAAACGCCATTGTTTTTAGGTTGAAGGGAAACGTTCAATTTAGTACATTGCAGAGATATGACGTCGACGTCGTTACGTATACTTATATTTTTTAAATCGCAAAAAAGCATGTTAAATTACGATTACAATGATACAATACCTACTTACAAATTTATTTCATTTTCAATTGATAAAAAAAGAAATAAATTTATGAAGAAGTGGAAGAATTACTTAAGTCTGATTGTACGTGGTGACGAAAACGTCAACATCTAGGACTAAAAATAGTTCTTTTTCGTAGTAATTTCGTAACTTTTAATAAATAATCTGCCTGAAGAATTGCTGATATTTTAATAATCTCTATAATGCAAACACTTATTTAACAATATCTTTTTAAGTGGAAACACTAAATAATATAAAGAACGTTATTGAACAATAAATACAGAAAAAGAAACACAAATGAAAATTTTCTTTTACAGGAAAAACTTTATTAAAAAAAGCTTTTGTTAAATTTAACAGTACCCTAAAACGAATACATTTTTGCAATTAGAATTTTTGGAGCAATTTTTTTGTTGGCCAGTGAAATCCACCAAAAATTCTGGAATATAGATCTCAACAAGCTAACTTAAAAAACATGGCTCGATGATCCCGACCAGGATTATGTTTTCAAAATAAAAATTTTAAATATTCTTAAAAATTAGCATATGCTATTTTGGAAAAATGGTGGAAATTCTCAAAAAAATGAAACGGAAAATAAATCCCAGGGTCCTTTCAGATAATTTTTGAAGGTGCGCGAAGAAAGTCAAAAATTCTATGCTACGCGCATGTTCAAATAAGTTTTTTCTTTACAAAAGTTTGTGATGACGTTATCAATATTTTTGCAAGAATACGTATATTAATTTGGATAGGTACCATACTTACGATTACTTTAAAACGTTAAAAAAAATAAAAGATTTCAAAGCAATCGGTTTCTTATTCTACCCTCCTCGGTTTTGCCGCTTCTAAATTAAATTGCAAAATGTTTGTTTCATAATTTTGAATTTTTTTTTTTGTTTCAAAAAATCTGGATGTCTCCGGTAAACATTCAATACGTATGTACAATTTTGAGGTCACGTCATCACATTCTTGGTGGGGATGATTAGACAAAGTTTGGTTAGCATTTTACCACCTACTTGATATTCGTGATATATATATATATATATATATATATATATAAAATTTGACAATAATCGGTCCAGTAATTCTAACAAAAATTGACCCAGACAGCAGACGGACAGAAAGGGAGACCTATGTTTTCGTAGTCTACACGTCGATAACAATACTCCTAAGTTTACGCCCGAGAAGTAATACATGATTTTCTTAACAACTTAAAGACAAGTTTTGGTCTTCGAAACTTATAATCCTGACGAAGTCGAAAAAGCAACAGATTTGAAACCTCTAAACCAATATTTACAAATTCAATTGCACCGATGCGCTGTTCTACGATATTTCCATCGCTTTCAACATGTCCTGCAGAGGTAACTCGTCCGAAAAAAGCTTCTGGTATGAATGTCGACCCGCGTAAAAATTTTCTGCCGGTTCTGGTCAGCTGTCGGTTTGGGGCTTTTTGCGCTACGCAAATGGTCAATCGCGCGATTTGTCCTGATTATAATTAATTGCGCCGGGGCATGCGATCGTTGCGAAAATAATTCGAATGAATGCGGTGCGGTTTGTCGAGTGCGCCGCCACACAAATTGCTCGAAACTATTCCGCAACGGTCGGTGGTGCTGGCAATTTAAAATTTGTAAAAGCGCAGTCGTAAATAATAGCGGGGGCATGTTTCGCGGTTGCACGGCATGTCGTTTGTTTAATTCGAATAGGATCTCCGGTTCGCTTTTGTGTGTCGGGAGGGATTATTTGGGAACGGAACTTGCGGAAATATCGAGACAAAAGTTGACGAGGCGGAAAGAACGAAAGCCGAATGGAAGTCTTGTGGAGGAGCGCCGAACCGTGCATGCTGAATTTGGAAGAGGAGAAGCGTCGAAACCATTATAGCGTTATGGTATTACCTCACCCACTGTTTAACACTCTCAAGAAAGCCCTCTTCTTAACTCGCAATGCCTCCAAATAGATAATTATGGGGGCTGCTCGCTCCCATTCACTTTGCATAATTACTCGAAAAAGTTTCGGCCGCGACCCCGAATCTTCTCGTTCGAAAGCCAGAAACAAGAAATTAACTTGGCGCCCTGCTCCGGCCCCACTTTTCCAATATTCCCAAATTTTCTTTCCTGCTGCTCTAATTTATGATACTCTCAGACCGTGCAAGACGCGACGTTACTGAACAGAGCTACCCTTTTAATGATAAAACATTGCCAAGGCCAGCACGAATCTAGTCCATATACAACAACAGCGCGGAAGGGTTCTTCGAGGCACAACTTATAAATTCATTCGCCCGGATTAGACGGAAAAAGCTCTAAAAGTTTAGTCCAAGAAAGCACAAACACATAATGCAACCTGCAGCCTTCTACTCCCACACTCTCCACAATATTGCAACCCCAAGTGTAGTCCCTTGGAGCTAAAGATAATGAACGTTATTGCAGAGAACTAGTTGTCTTTTTTGACTTGTGCTAAAATTATTTGTCGAGTGAGTGGTTTGCACACTTATTTGGTGGTGGCATCGGTCGCCAGTTATCTAGCCTAGCGGTTGCAAAGTGGGGGCGTTTGGGAGCGTTTCGTGAGTAATATCGTTTGTAAAATGATAAGTAATTCAATCCGTCTAGCTCCCCCGTCTGGTTGAATATGTGTGTGCGGCGTTGCGTGCGGTTATTTTTATCCACAGGGTGTTCGACGATAAGACCCTCAACAAGACTGTACGAAGCGAATAGACCGCACCATCTAATATAAATATTCCACAAAAAGACAAATAAACAGTCCCTAATAGTGTATGGTTTTGTGTGTAATGTTTGATTTATGTCGACCGCAAGTGGTTGCTTTAACCACCAGCACCCTTACCACAACGAGTCATAAAAGATTCACACTTTTCTTTCAATTTGATGGGAAACGCGTTTGCTTCGCGACACACATCTGTTGTGGATGTTGCGTGTTGCTGCACTTAATAGACCCATGTGGCCTTGTAGTACTTCGGAGACCTCCCGAATGCTGAAAAATGGATCAAACTTGAACATGGGGAGGCGGCAGACATCTCGGAATTTATGATTATTTATGATTGAGTTTGATGCAATAGCGTCGGAAAAAATCGAGCGATAAGAAGAGGAATCCTGGATAAGGAGACCGAAGGGGTTATCTGTAACACAGGGATAATTGGTCGTCTCCTTATCAACGGTTCGGATAAAACCCAACAAGCATTCTAATGGTGGCAGGTCGTTTTTCATCGATGTGACGGATTATGCTAATTGAATGGTCGGTGACAACGTCGGCGACAACACTTTTAAAATAAATCCTTGTGCTCTAATTGAGTGAGGACGATGATTGGGTGAGCCGTGCTGGGGATGTTTTCGTGCCATGATGAAAGTTGTTTTCCATTCCATTCCGTAAGCTATTAGCGGAGTCAGAGCGAAGAAAGATGCGCTGTTCTATTTAAACAACTTCCATTAAGGAGACGGGGAGGGTCGGGTCTGGAGAGATAAACCCCGACGCGTCCTCCCAAAATAGAAATATCATCCTCCATCCATCCCCCCGAAAAACATTTTTAATGATTACATTCCGATTCGGACGCGACATTAGTTATGGTGACACGTCGACGGGACGCCCCAATAAATACAGATTTGTGCGTCTGATATACGTTCCGGGTATTGGCGTTGCATTACTGCATAGCAGAGGTGCCGTGTTCAACACAATTACACGTTGTGGTGACATTAGTTTAATTCACTGTCGACTAATGAAAGTTTACGAGCTGGCCACGTGAGCACGCCGACGACGTCGTCGTCGTCGTTTTATTGCGCGTTCACTTCACCCGTTCAACGTTTACTGCCGCTTGGTTAGCGAAAAAGTTATGTATGTATGCATGCATCATGTGTTTAAACGGCACACTTTCGCTAAATGCTCCGTTTTTTGCCCTTTTGATTTACTGGTGCCGTTCGTGTCGTTATTTTTCAGCACACAACACGACCGAAAGAAAGGATCACAGACCTCTTTCGGTACTAACATCTAGGCACGCTCTCACCTCGTACTAGTTAGCGCGTTAATTGGACTAAATGCAAATTTCCACATGCATAATCGCGTCGAAATTTATTATTTAGCCTATGAACGTGCAATTACCCGGCATCTTAAACAATTACAACGGGCCCCGTTAGCGATAAAGACCGGCAGGTTGATCGTTTTACCTTTTTCGCGTTCGTAATATGCAAGTTTAATAGGAGGGTTGGTACAGCTGATGATCGCACATGTTTTCGGGCCTGGTTTTTTATCGTTTCGGTGGATCTGGCCACCGGTAATGTCCATTTAACGACGCACTGCCTGCCTATTAATGGCCAGTTGTAATTTCGTGTAAAGGCAAATGAACAATTATTGATTTAGTCATTAGCGCGGCGTTATCGCCACTAATGCCGACGAGAAGAAGCGCAAACTCTTCATTAGCCGTCCGGCTTTCAATTATGTAAGTAGTTTTATTATTAGGTGGATGTTTCATTAGCCCCCGTGATCGTTGGGTGGCGATAAAAAATACACGATTATTGAATATGTAGGTCTACAAGAATTTACCTGGATCCGAGGCGTCGAGACTTTGCTGGGATGCGGGTGCTTGAGATAGAGGTCCAGGTGTTCCGGGCGACCTCACGTCGTCATTCACCGGTCCCCCGTACGATAACGACGACGATGGCGGCCTCTGTAATCAGAAACAATACTTAAGCATAAATGATGATATCTTATCAGCGGACTGCGAATATCTACACGCTATTCATACACATAAAAAGTCTGCAACTTTGTGGTACCGACGTTTAAACCGACGCCGATGTTTATTAATTACTGACACACGTTGCTGCACAAAACTAACAGTTGCAAATAACAGAAGTGATTATCAGTTCCAATATAGTGCCGTAACTTTTAATATTTTTTTTTAAGTATGCGAGAAAGAGTTATTGATTCTAACCATGTTCTCCAACAACAAAATTAATTGGTATCTACATTTGAAATGGATAGAACTACCAAGTGAGAGTCAAAAAATTATAACGATGTAATTTTTCTGCTGATTTGCTTCTTCAATCATGAAAATTTTTTGTTCCTCACGTTGGTGAAGTGTTTCAAAGTTTGTTGAATTTTGTCTTATTACATTCGTTAAAAGGGTATATTAGCTTTCTCGTCTAGTAGTACTGTGGTAACTGTACACATTTTTAAAATTTGTAGTTGGTTAGCGAACACAATTATTTCTGTTGCAACTCGTTGCAACTGTTCGGTCGGTGCCGAGCGCATTCGCGTATGTAAAATCTAGAATAACTACCTATCGACGGTTAAACGTACGACTTAACTCTTGTATCCATTAAAGATCGGATTTCTAGAAACGTAAACTTGTTTGACATTCGCGCAATTTATGCTTACAGCGTCGACACGGTGCAGTGCAGAAACAACGGCGTCATACTAAACGTAAATCGGTAACAACATAGTTTAAAGGTGTGCGTCAGTAGTGGTCGATGCTCGTCAATTTGTTCATTCTGAAGTACCCGCTAATTCGGGTCTCATAGCGCACGTTATTTACTTTGTGCATATGCCGATAACCGGAAGACGGAAACAACAGTTCCGGTTCACTTGGCAGGGGTGTGTACTTAGCCGTACATGGTGCTAACTCGTTGTCGCGTTCGGCGTTTTTTTCTTCCCCTTTATTTAATAAAACACACCGTATAAAGGTGCGTTACCGTCTAATTGATATCCCAACTGGTCCGCTTAATGAACCGTACAAAATTGGCGCTAGTTTTTACAACTTCCCCTTTTACAATTTAATGACGCGGTTACAACAACGAGGATAATTTCAATTTTACGATGATGTTGGCGGTTGGTTACAGATGCGGCGGCGTCTGTGCCGCTGGGGACGGCGTGGCGGCACTTTCTCCATCAAATTCGATAAGTTGATGCGTGGTTGTCGTGCAACCAGCAGATAAATAATATAGAGATGCGGGGATCCGGTACGAGTTGGGATGCGGCGGCCTGGTCCCCCGGGTAGACCAAACATGACACTTCACTTTCGACTGAGGGGACCACACCATGCAAAAAATATGGAAACACGACACCTCTGACGAGATGGGAAACTCGGAGCCAAGCCGATCATAGCGTCTGCATCATTCTACAAGAGCAGCCAAGGTCGACGTGGGGACGCACCCTCATCGCGCCACATTAGAGGCACCAATTATGATTTTTGCGCTGCCAGACACACTCGACTAATTTTTCGAACAAGTCCAGAACATCCATTGCGGTACCAAAATCGCAATTTTTAGAAATTTTTCGCTCTCCCTCGCTAAACTGAGCGGTTAAAATAGTCTCGGAAGGCGGCATTCTCCAACTACTCCGTCATACAGATAACGACGTGGTTGTATTTTTTGCTACCATATACGTGCTGTAGGCTGGGCCGAGATTACAGCGAGGGATTTATAATTCCTGCTGTATCCGAGTGGCACGGACACGAGGAATCTAATTTTATTCGGCTGTAACGTTTAGGGCGGTTGTCCGGAGGAAGGAACAAGGAGTACAAAAGAAAGTCAAGACCACCGTTAAAGTAAAAAGCGTAATAATGGGCGTAAAGCAACGTTTTGTTTTTAGTCAATTTGACAACACAATTAACTCGTAAAATAAATGCGAAATCTGCTACAGAGTATGTCTGGTGTACAGTTACGGTTATTGTGCGATCGTAACATTTTTATGGTTCTTATGAAGCGCGGTGTGTCGAAACGACGTCTGGAGCTTCAGGTCGGCTTTTGTGGTCATCGGGAGCTTGAGCTACTGCTTACTTAATGAGTGCCGATAATTACAACACCACTCCCACACGGCGTACTCTCCCTCCTAATAAATATGTTTGCATTCAGCTGACACGTAAACAGGCCTGTTATTATGTCGTCAATTAAAAACATATTATAGTTAATTCACGTCGCGGACCCGAGCTGAAGCTGCTGGACGTGGATGTGGGTCAGTGTCGATGGGCTCCGCTTGATTGATTTATGGACACTTGCTGGGATATCTTGGTCGGAGTGTCCCTGTCAGGTGATACCGTGGTTTTGTCGATCTGTCAATTAATCGATATTTCCGGGTGCTCGAGCTAAGTAGTGCCAACGAAATTCACGATTAATAGCCTTGTTCCGTCGTTCGAAACAGCTGTAGTAGGTACCTTTGGTCGATCAAAGTCTGCATGGATCGACACAGACAAAAGGAAATTTGGCGGAGGCGTCGGAGGAGACTTGATTGATTTATGGACACTTGGAGCAACCTCGGTGCAAGTATCCCCGGCAGGTGGTGCAGAATCCCCATTCTGTCAATTATGCCATTTCCGCACGAGACGAGTAGAGTGAATTTTATATGCGAATAATTTCGTCGGTGATGCTCTCTAGTTAATTTGATGGTTCTCCGTTTGAATGCGTCCCTCTCGATTCACATAATTGACTTTTAACTAAATGCTAGAAAATGGATAAGTCATGTATGGGGGACTAGTAACAAATCTAATCTACGCATCAGCCGAATTACGAATTAGCAGTTCCCTCGGGTATGCCGGCAGCTATACGTATTTATCCAGCACCAGCAGCAGCAGCCCTCGCTCTCATGCAAATGCCAATTGGCCACTTTCGGGTTAATGTGCGAAGCTACATGCAGATTCAATCGCAACCCCTTCCAGTCAACAGCGTTTGGCGTCTTGATCCGATTTCGACGTCAAAGTAACCAGCTTGCACCAGGGTCGCCGACTCGGCACAGATTTATTTAATTTCCGGATGGTAATGAACGACAACCGGGACTGTTCGAAAACGGTGCGGGTGTTAATTGTGACCGTGATCTGTTCTCGGCCTCGTCATGTGGGACGAGTAATGAAATCACCGCCGTCCACAACTGTCTCTAACAACGTTACCAACTTCCGATTGTCCTCTTAAATCAGATTTGCCTCAGCTTTATTCAAGCGAAATACATTCGCTGCAACACGCATCACCCGGATTCGATGCGTTTTTGCGACCGAGACCATTGGTTATTCTGGGCATGACTCGATTATTCTGTTTACAAACAGCGCTCGGCCGTGTCAAGCATAAGAACTGAGCCAGCAGCCAACAACTAGAAGAAACAAAGTCGCGATGCAACGATTCGACACACGCCGTGTGGACATTTAAGTTTGTTTACGGTTGCGATGCACCAATAGTATTTGTTGTTCATTCGGCAACATGGCAAAGGCTACGACGGTTGTAGAGGCGAGGACGCCGACCTTGCCTGTCAAACTGTGAGTGATGACGTCAGTTCCATATGGTAATTGAATCAGCTGAACGATAGACGCGCATGTTAACCACGAATCGGGTGCATCTCCGAGAGGATATAACATACACAAAGACGGATACTTTCCCCTAGCAAAAAGGTCTAGCTCCTGCGGCGAGTGTCAGCCGCAGAGGAAACCCCGCTGCGGATACTTCCATCAAAACTGCGAAATTCCTGGTTGCCGTCGACGGAATTATTTTTCTGCGTCCGAACACCAATCTCGCGCTGGTTCACTAATAGACGGCCAAAACTAGTAGTGGAAGTCGCACTATCCGGAACAATGAAATTTTCGAGGGAGGGGACGTGGTGATTACGGCCACAAGCTCGATTATTTAACGTTGGCTTTTGGAGAAGCGTGCAGAAGTAAGTTGAATGAGTGCGCGATGCAATGGGGGAGTACAAACAAATAATAACCACCACCAAATTGCGAACATCTGGCCGTGACGTTCAAACAAAAACGGCGTGCGGTGGCCGGCAAAGCTCGCCTGCTGAAGACATCTTTCCTTGACAGGAACGCACGCACATGCACGCACACCCTTCCTAAAGGGTGTATTACGGCCGACGGCGGCTTGCTGAACCTCGGTTGTACCTTGATTTCAATAGGACGGTATAGGGTTACGACTGTTTCCTCTTTGTGCGGGATGTCGAGGAACAACTCCTCCACTCGGCTCGTCTTATCGCAGACGGCAGGATAATTAAATTTGTCGGTGTGATTTATTGGCGGCGAGCCGGCGCTTTCGCCACCGCAGCGTCGCGGCGCTCCCGACGTCGGTACCTGGCCGGCGTACCTGAGTAATATTCGATGGCGATATCGCTGGTCCGTCATCACGGTCCATTAAGGGCGAAGTCGTCGGACTAATGGGCCGTTACTCGATGGAGCAAACAATAACCATCCGTTCTGCTTAGGAGAGATTGATTCCGGCGGGTGGGAAGAGAAGAACGGCGTCCGTTCGGTCCGCGCGCACTATTTCATTTTAATGGTCCCCGCGGCCCTGGATTCCATTAAACTGTTTCTCGTGCGAAGTTTACTTTTGCCACTGGGACCATTAGTTTGATGCAGCAGGAAACAATCCTGCCAAGGACCGGGATTGATAGATGGACCCGCCGCCGTCTCGGCCTCTTCCTTCTGCTGGCTCGGCAACACATAACTCAGGCGGGTCGTGCCCATTTGCCGCGAAAACACCACCCTCCGAGCGGCATCGATCGACCGGGAAAAATTCCTCTCTTATGTGCATGCGAATGTGTGCTAGACGCGAACACCAGCTGTATCAAGTTTCGGCCGCATAATAAATTGAACAAATCCACCTGTTTGCGAAAGGGAAACTCTTCGGGCGATTACAAGCCATCAGTGTCTCCTGAATTAGGCCGTTTCGAGGGAATCGCTTCCCGCTCTCGCTCTCGAATCGCAGCTCTGCGTTTTACAAGCTATTTGAAGTCAATAAAATGATAATGCCCCAATAAAAGCGGCGCGTAGAGCATCGCACGGGGACGCCTTCCTCCGTCTAAGTGATTCCGAGACGATGCAAATTGTATCAGGAAGGAAAGGAAACGACGATACGGGAGACGGTGTACTGGCTGTGGCGGGAATTTGCAGATGCCGTCAAAACTCCCGTGCTCTTCGACCGATGATACACGCTTGATCGTTGCCCTTGCACTATAAATACCGCGTTAATTATACCCCGCTCAGACGACAACCGTGCTCGTGAGACATTATTGGCAGCACGGTGCCATCCGTGCTATGAAGTATTCTCATTTTGAGCGCCTTCCAAACCACAACCTGGCTTTCACTCACCAGCCGCATACCGTACGTTCGCTATTTTTACACCCTCAGCGGCGCGACACTCTTTCGCTTAGTCACAGCCCGAGGAGACGAACCAACGGAGAGGACCCCGTACGTACGTTCGTTCATCTCGGTTCGAGTTAAAAAAAATATCCACGACGTTCTCGCCCCGCCTCTGACCAATCTGAGAATAGCCGAACCGGAGACGCAATTGCCGTCAGCGTCGAAATTCGACAAGTCCGAAATTTCGAAAGTCGATAGCCATCTGGTACAGCGACACCGAGACGCCACATTTCTCATCCGTGTTGTTCGCGATGATTTTATTTTGTCGGTCTGGATGCTCCCCGCGGTTCGCTCCGGTCACAGGTAGTCCAAAAGGAATCGAACAACAGCACTATAGCCGATTTATTCAAGTCGAAAAAGAAGCCGATTGTAGACCACAACGCGGGGGGACATGTAACTCGATCCCTCGTTCGCATCGGCGATGCGTCAGTCTAAATTGACACCAATTACCAGCAAAACTCCCTGCTTTGAGCTCCCCCTGCTTTCGCAAACAGCATCACGAAAATGAGCTAATACACTCAGTGGCAGCGGGCGTCTCCCCCGTCGTCGCCGCCATCACAACCCGACGTCGATCAAATGGACGAGCATCTTCGAAAATGTAACGTCAATTTTGACTACAAGAAAATGATGTACTTACGACATCCGGCGTACTCGCGCCGTCCGTGTGCGACGTCGAATCCGCGTTACTCCTGGTGCCGCCGTCTCCGTTCGTGGAACCCGTCAATTCGGGTGGTTTGCCTCCGTCCCTCTCGTCTATCACCAAGTCGATGGGCATTTTGCCTTTTAGACAACTGATATACCGATGGCAGAAATTATCACATAACTCATGGACCTGCAACACAAAGAACAATCAACTGCGGATTGCCACAGTGACTCAGGCATGGATGCGGATTTACATATCGCAAAAAAGCCGGTCAAGAATAACGGCCGGCCACAAACGTACGAAAGCGAGATGAAACTGATTTGCATGCCGAGACGAGCGGCCTTCGACCGTGCTGCTTTGCTTCTTTTCCAAAAACCGTTCCGAAAGAGCGAACACACGCTACGAACAGATATGAATGCGTTCTTAATGACGCCCAATTAATAAACCCAAACCACCAGAACTTCTTCCAACCACGTTTCACGTATTGCAACTGAACGCGAAATTTTATTTGTACCTCGAAACTGCGTTTACTACAAGTCGAGATAATCCGAGGTATACATTGAAAAGAGAAAAAAACAGTTCCTAATCAGAATGCACCTGTCCCTATCGCTGCAATGATCAATATAAGCATGTTTGTGTACCCTACAAGGCGGTTGATTCTGCTTGTTCGAGAAGCGGTAATGGAAACAACAACGGCATGGCTCTGGATGATGATTTAATGGGCACGTTTTTTCGATCTTGCCCAATGGGCAGGCTGTTCGTGTGGGTCGCAGTGGACGTTATGATTTTGTTGGTCGGCCGGGTTAGGTGTCCAGAGGCACATTTCCTTATCGGTCCGCGGAGATAGTCGGGTTCCTAAAAACGTGTCCGTCCCGTACAGCCTTAATGACATAGAATACGGCCGTAAATTAGGATCCCCTGTACATAGATTAGATATGGAGTGTGCGAGGGGGGACCCCTCCGAGACCCACCTCACTCGTTTGCATTCGTTCGTGTTCCAAGATGGCCGGCAAAGACGTCGTCTGTCTGGGGTAACCGGTTATGTGCATTTACCTTGCAACAAGATTATAATATCGCAACGCTGCGAGAGAGATGGACCGCTCGATAGTGTCCCCTTTTAGCAATTTAAATGCGGCTGCAAATGCAAAGCGATGCGCGATGGCCATCCGGTTGATCGGACCGCATTCTGCCGCGCGCAATTTCCATATTTTTACATGTCGGTCTTTTAATACGGAGAATCTGAGACAACGGGCCCCCGAGAGACGGACTTCGATGTGGTGTAACCCGACCGGTGCATTGTGACGATGTCGCAGCCTGTGTTATCGATCTAGCGACGGTTTCAACGAGCCTAATTAGCGACGACGTCGTTACGATCGTTAGAACCGCCGTCGGAGAAGGCACCCATATTTTAGAAATCGCAGGCCGCAGTGAGCCAACCGGAATCCCCGACGCCGGCTTTACTATCGTACATTACTATCGCTCGTTGTAGTCATACTAGTTTTTTTTTCAAAGTTAAAATACACTTCCAAAATGTATGTCATTTGATAAATGATCCACCCCGCTCATGCTAATTCGTTCATTTTTTAGGAAGGAGTGACCTCTAGTTCCCGAGTACGCAAATGATTCAAAATTTGTTTCACTTCAAATGCATGAATGTTGTCATGTGTGTCTCACAATCATATAAATTTTGAATGGGAGCAAAAAAATCAAATCCAGATATGCTTCGAAAGTCAAAACGTGTGTCTTCACTGTTGTGTGAAATAACAATAACAACGTGTGCAATAATAATAATAATAATAATAAGTTGTTTTGTTAATCTAATCAATGCATATCATTACTTGGTCTTAGTACCCGTAATGATAGAAGTCTTGCCTGAATTGCCGGTCATTTCCGGGTCAGTGGTGGGTCTTAAATAATAATAATAATGTTTATTAAATTATCATAATACTTTACAAAATGGATAATCTAAGATAACTGTAAAAGTAAGAATCATACAATTTCTAAAAAAGAACAAGTCGTAAGAATATTGCGTATGAAAATAAAATTTGTGGAAAAGAGGTGACAATAAGTTCGTAAATTCAATTATGTTTTTGCACACAAATCGTTTTAATTATTAGTAACAGAAGAAATACTGCTTTCGTAATTGCAGTTAATAGCAGCAATAAATAAAGTTAATCATAATATAAGTTAAACATAACTTAAAGTTAATTAACAGAATGTTGTATGGTGTCAGTGTTTCTAAAGTAAATTCTATTGGCTAGAAATAACAATTTAGAAACAATTATTTCTTCCTCTGGGCATTTTTTTATCTTCAAATGTAATTTTGTAACAACTTATCAATAATTTGGAATCGTAGAAAAAAAAAGTGCAATATCTTGTTAAATGTGTAACTATGCCTATACAGTCTTGCTTTTACAAATAACGGGTGTTCAATTGAAAAAGTCATCAAGTTGGTGGAACTAAAAAGTGAGGTTAGGTTGTACCATTCCGTGTTGGCAGTTGTCATCGATTAAATTTTAGTTCACAAAAAATCAGCGCCAACGTGACGATGTTTGCAATTGAACACCCGAAATATGTATGTAGTATCTTGTTAAGAAAATTAAAAATTCTATGGCTGTGGTAATTGGGCAAAAAATGAAACAAGAAGTAGTTTTTCAAATACCATTAAATTGCAGGGACATCCGTTTGACGGGTATGTCTGATATTTATAATACATTTTAAATTTATCATAATTGGCGTGAAGTGTGATAAACTAAACTTTTTATTACTAGTTAAAATGAAGCGCCAATTTTAGATAGACAGTTCAACACAAATAAATTTGACCAGTGAACTGTACACAATGCTACAAAAGGATCGAAACACTACAATGCAGAAAATTCAACAAGTAATAGTAAAGGTTATTTGATAAAAATTTAACGAATGGTGATGCTCCTAAATTCAATCTATTACTGTCTTGAAACATTTTTAGAGCAAAATTGTTGTATTATAGGCGAGAAAAATGAACATTTTGAGAATGAGCAGCAGGTATGTCCGCCAGCAAGTTGTTTAGCTTGAGGTTAATAAAAAATCGTTTGTATCTGTTTCGTTAATCTGCCTAATTGCTATAATAGAGGATGTATGAGAAAAGGTACTAATTAAAATGTCTATAGTTGGAGTGTTGTAATTAAATTAAAATTCATTGAACAGCGAGTTTTTCTATTTCATACACGTTACTTATCTTTAATCTTTATGTATCTATCTCGGAAAACATGCACGCAGTACAGTATTATATTATAAATGCTAAAGAGTCGTTTCGAAATGGTTAATAAATTGTATTCAACCGCTCTGGTGATTTTGTCAAAAAATTGCTACATTGTCGCGTGTTCGCACCTGCCGGTAGATTCGTATCTTTGACGTATGATCGATGACGTATCTATGCTATATGGCCTTACCTTTTCCAGTTCTAGTAGGTGAAACCGAAGTACTTGTATGGCCTGGACCATCTGAAACAAAAACAGCGTGAGTACAGTGTCTGCGATTACGGCTACTTGTAACAATGAACGTCGGAGTTTCATTGTATAAATCAGTGCCTTCCGGTACGAATTAGCTTTTTTATCTCGTGGGCGTAGGTGAGTGATCACAATGGTCGGACGGTTCACGAAACAGAAAATTAGTCGTAATGGCCGGAATCGTGGATCTCGCTATCAGGGCCGGACTTAAGGGACCCGAAGACGCGATCGAATGGGGCCCAAGGTCGCAACGGCACAAATCGCGGAAACATTTATTGAGCAGATTTTAGGGTCGATAACATCATCAAATTTTTATTACCAGTATTCACAAAGAACAATTAAAATGAAAAATACCATCATCAACCAAGTGCACATTATGATTTTTTGAAAATGAGAAGAAAATCTCTAATCAAACATTTTCTAAATCAACAAAAAAAAGTTCAACAATAGCAAAACTGACCCTCGGGAAGAAAAACTCTTTTTTGGCATTTGCAACTTTACCATATAGTAACAAGAAAAAACAGTGAAGAAACTGGACTTTAGTACTCGGAGGAATGTTATTCCAACTCTGAACTAATAAGAGTTGTTAAACAACTACCGTTGAATTATTTTTATTACAGGTTTACATAGTGTGATCCAAAATGGAGTTAATCATTGTTAAGTTGTACATTTTTTTTTCGAAGACCTAACAAAATGTGGACAAAAGCTATATAAAAAGCTGCTTTCCAAGAACATACAGTGCGTTTTAACAGAATTTGTAGAAAATAAGTGACGGCAATTTTTAAATTTATTTAATTATGTAAACGTAAATTGCGAGTAACTATTGGCGTTATAAGAAATGCTGAGATCGTAATAGCGGTTAATGGAAACAATAAATAACGTATTTATAACCCAAGTTAAACATAATTTAAAATTAATTATCAGTATGTTGAATAGTGTTGCTTTATGTAAATTGTACGGTTAGAAATAACAATTTATAAAAAGAATTACTTCCAAACCCATACATTATGTCAAACGAGTATCATCAACTGTAACTTTACATCAACTATGCATTTACTGATAAATCTTGCGGCTAGAACACTATCTGTTTTCTACGATTTCACACGAAGTGGATTTTCCTTCCTGAATATGTTCTTGGACTGTTGAGTTCAATTAAAATTTTTGAAAACAAAAATATTTTACTGAAATGAATTGGACTGAAACTGAAATGAACTGAAACAATTCAATTTTAATATGTACTTATATTAAAAGGTTGTTCTACAATTATTTAGACAGAACTTCCCTCGCATTTGAAGCTGACGTTTTAATTAAAATTCGTTTAGCACTTCGCTTAATGGGGACGGATAGATAATTTTTATTTGTCGATTATAAGCTCCAAAAAAAGGGTAGATTTCAAAGCAAATGGCTTAGGAGTTTCTAAAGGAAACTGTAAAGTGATATTGCAGTTTTAAATTTTTTTTCTTTCAAATTCTTTCAAAAATAAAAGATAATTGTTTCGGTTTTTGAGGCTCTGTTTGTGGGAAGTTAGTACTATATGTGTGTTTTATAACGATATGTAAAATAACATCACATACATTTAAAACTTGATATAAAATACCGGCGAACACATACATAAATTATAACTGAAATAATAATAATAATAAAAAAATAACCGTTAAAGTATCGGTAAAGGAGCATGCAATGTATATGTTTCAAGTGAGTTTTTCCATGACGTTATCAATACTTTATCAAGGACCCATATATGAATTTGATTGAATAAGTGCAGTAATATAATAATCAATTATCGTTTATTAATTTTTTGGGTCACCTGTATAAGTAACTCTGAAAAGTGTGAATATATTCATAAATGACAAGTATAGATTCATTATATTTTACATATTTTAGAATAGGTGAGGATTTATTCAACAAAATTTTCAGATGACGTCATCCGTTTTTTGGAAGGGTATGTACAGATAACTTCTGATTAACCATCCCTACGATAACCTTAAAACATGTGCAAGATTTCAGAGCATTCGATTTTGAAATTTCAAAATTAAATGCAAAATGTGATACGATTTTGATTCCATGAATATCTTACTTGATAAAATTTAGCGTTATAATATTCCTAACATACATCTACAGACAGAAACGGAAGACCTACTTTTTTGTACTCTAGTAATGATGAAACGTCGAAAAGACATGAAAGGAGTAATTCGTCGAACAATATCAAAGGACCACAGACAAGCTAGCATGTCACGAATTTCAACTGAGGTTAATTTAAAAATATTTTATAAAATGACGTCATGCTTTTTTTTGATGAGATGAATAAATCAATTTTATAACAAACTTTGGTTACACCTAAAATTTCGAACTAATTGGTACTTCTGGACTTTTACGCTGAAGATGACTGAAAATCATGTATCGTCTGCACCGTATGCAAATTATTCACTCTAAATTGTTTATGAACATTCAAGGGTAGAAAAAACTTCTGGACCCATTTACGAATTTGATATAATATATTTTTTTAATTCACTGTGTATATTCCTCTCCATTTAAAAATAGAAAATATTACCAAACTGCAGAAATGATTACTTTGAAACCTCAAATGCTCGGCTTGCAAAAAAAGCGGGAACTGTCGAACACCCGATAAGACAATTAAGTAGCCAATATTTTATACCAATATCAAAACAACACCCAAAATAGGCAGAGTTCTAACGTTTTACATCCCATTCATTTTCCTACCAAGCGTTCAAGACTTCTCATCAAAATAATGCACGGCCTATCTGCATCAGTTAGTCGAAGGTTCTTAGACGGTCAAAGCGGAAATGATTCCCCTTGTTCACCCGACCTAAACCCGATCGAACATGTTTGGGACAGATCAAATTATCGAGTCCGGCGTTTACCTCCACTTCAAATAACGTTAAAGAACCTTCATCATTAGGTTCAGCAAGCTCCAAGTGTTCCACAAGATGAATAGGTTACCCTATTCTAGCATGTCAAGGAGAGTTGAGGAGTGTATAAATGGAATTCCACTAGTTTTCTTAATTTTCTGAAAGATTTTTGGCCAGAGATTTTCATTATATTTTAATCCGCCTTGCTATATCTTTGCAAACCATTGGGAACGTGTATCTTACGTCGCTTCTGACGTCAATCATGACGATGGTAGAACGCCATCCAAAATTTGCCTACTCATGCCCTCGATGCAGTGGATCACGTCATCTCGGATGTTGTTAAATAACATAATTATGAATTATTAATTAAATTTATTTCCTAATGTCCTCCGACAATCAGATGACGTCGTTTAATAAAAAAAATCTTGATTGATGCAGCGACCCTTGTACTTATGTATGTATATATAAAAATAAAATATGAACCGATTTATTTAATCGATTCCTAGGAACGGCTCATCAATTGCCTGAAATTCTTGGAACTCTGCAAGGTTGTGGTTATCGTCACTTGGTACTTCTGAAAATTGATACCTTTATCGCAGCCACGAAATCAGCGAGTCTCAAAAAAAAATTTAGCAAGACGTGTGGAAAGAGGAGTGGAATCAGGGTGTTGCGTAAGGGTCCATAAATCTTAGATCCGGTCCTGGTCGTAACGCAGGAGTGAATTGGCCGGCGGTTCGGTTCTTCCCCGTGACAATTTCACAGATGTTAAGGTTTCAGGTACTGGGCGATTTCGCGGACCACCCGCACGATGGCGTAGCGGGCCATAGGTCAAATAAACGTTCGCCGTAACCCCGTAGCTGACGGCTGTTTCGACCTGTTAAAAATTAGATTTGTTGCGTGTGGTACTTGGCTCCATGGAACGTTATCGCACACTCCACTGGATGCACAACAATACGCTCTTAAACGGAACATTAACACCAAACACTCGTTAAAAACATCACGTGGTTGGACTCTTCATAAACAAACTCCGCATTCCCATAGCGTTGAAATCTACATCAAGGTGCAAATTGCATTCGTTCTCATCGCCTACGTGGCATTTTCTTTCTTAATCAAGCGTCGCTGTTACCAGAAACATAATTGCAAGCCGATTTTGTTTAATAAACCGGTGCGACTCGGCCAATGGGAAAAGAGTAATTGATCCATTTTAAATTCATGTATTTTGCAGGATAATTTAATGGCGTGTTGTCGGCGGTGCTATTTCCTTTATAATAAATACGTGCGAGAGAGCTAATTCGTCAATAACGTTGATTTACAGTCAATAAATTCAAAGTTCCCGCGCGCCGCCATCGTTACTACCAACATAACTCACCGTTAACTACAGACGGTAATCGCTCATATTCGGGTGTAAACAAGGGGCGGCTGGTAATCTTATGACGTTGTAATTCTACCCCGCATTACATCGACTAATATCGTTACTAACTGAATTTAATTACGGCCAGTGGTGCAACCCTTCTCGCATTAAAAATAATTTAAAGTGCGCCTAGTTATTCTCGAGGGAACCGCCATAAATCACACAACCGTCCTCCGGTAGCCCTTCTTCACCTCCGCACACCTACGGACAATTAAAATCACTAACAAGCTACTACAGACGTTGCCAACCGCAGAAAAATGCATGTCCCGCGAACCGTCCGTAGAAGAGACGTTAAGTTAAATAAACGAATTCGTCAAAGTCTCAACAAAGAAACGTTTATATTTCGTGGATGGTCTGTCCTGGTCGTTTTTTTCTTCCTTTTAGGCCGTCCGATCCAACAACGGTCTTGGCTCACTATTCTAGAGAGGTAAAAAAGCGACTGGTTCAGATCGTCACGTGTCCTTGTACCATAAACAGTCAGCTCGGATGGAAATGTTGCTCGATATCTGATGTAAATATAAATAACATCGACTCGAATATCGGGGGTGGGCATGCAACCATACCAACACACAAAACACACACACACTAAAGCCCACTTTAAAACCTCTCGAAATTCTCTTGTGTTATATGTTGTAAATTAATTTTACAGTTGGCTCGAATTACCGAAACCATAAATCGGGTACATTGCATGCCTACTTTTTTATCAGCAAATAATGGAGCCTCGATTAGATATGCATGTTACAACTCAACTGAGCACACGAAAGCAATTGGATACTTACTAATGAATCTACCTCGGGATCTGCTATGTAATAGGGCTTTTCTTGTCGGATCTGCAAAAGAAAATCCAATTAGTTTCGAACCATAAAAAACCGAAACCAACACGTTATATTGCAGTAGACGCTTTTTGCCACTTTTTGGCACTCCATGAATAGCTCTTTTTACATTAGAAAACGGCCACTCTAACACATACAAATGGGTCTATAAAAGTTTCGGACAGGTTTTTTAGGAACATTTTGAATACTAGCATCCTAGACAAGGTGCTTTAGTTTCCACTACACATACAACGGAATTTTTGTTGTCATTAATTAAGATATGCTAATTATACAAAGTACTCATTTGTAATATTAGAAGAAAGATAGCAGAATACTCTATAATTAACGTAGTTGTCTGATTAAGACTGGCATCTGCGGCGTTTCTTCATATGTTATTAAATATATAGCGAACAATAGCACACTTTCGCAAGTTGCATTTAAAAATCACACGATGTACTGTTTAAAAAATATCTTTGATTGTAACATAATTGAATGAGCAAAATCACTGTCATTATGATAATTTTCGGTGCCTACTATACAGAAAAAAAAACGTAAACTTGGCAAAGTCTTTTTTTACTGCACAACGTGCACAAAGTAGGCTTTGACACAAAATATATAGCTTTCAGAAAAGTGTTACCTTTATTATAACGTATTTTTAAGTTAATTAGAAAAACGATCAAAGGATTTATAAACTTTGAAAATAAAAAGCTGTAATTTAAAGCACACGAACGAGTACGAGAATCATACGGTTAAAATTGTAGATTTTTTACTTGCCACGGTCATCAGATTGAACTGTAGATAATAATAACTAATGAGAATTCAAATTTTTCAAATTTTGAACATTGGAGATAAATAAAGTCAATAGGTGAAAAAAATATTCCACTGAAATTCACAGGATTCTTCCATAAAACTTCCATTTCTGATCTGTTAAAAAAAAAGTCAATCTAGTAATATAAATGACCTTTATTGGTTTTTGAAAAAATTAATGTAGCCTAATGTATAATATGGTATAAACTAACGACTGAAGAAATTTCAGTTTCGAATAATTTGAAAATAATTCCAATAAACACTAATTTCAGTAACAGAACCAATTCCATCAACTCCATCAGAATGACTTTAATACATGTTTAATACCATTATAGCAATATATACGTTAATACCACACACAGCTCCCCAATTTAATGAAATGTTATGAAACTATTACATCCAGAAACAGGCCCATTTTTTATCAAAATTATGGCAGCCAAATGACCAACTAATTTTAACGAAATTTGTAAAAACCAATATAGTATGAAACTAATGACACCAGCAAAACGCATTTAAAATATTGAAATGAAAACTGGGGTTATATCATAATAATTGACAACTTCTTAATTTGACCAAAATTAAGCGGTCTAGCTACTACATTTCCTTGACTAGACCGCTCAAATTTGATTTTGAGATTGCACCAGAACACTATTCGAGAGTGTACTATCGGAGTACACTAAGTTTTACATATAAGAAAATTTAATCGTTTCGTCAGCATTAAATCAAATATGATACTGTTTTTGATGCTGCCAGTCAATAGAGATAATTCTTCAACACGAATCAACAGGTGGTGGGACTTGAAAATATTAACAGAACATTGAAGCTTTCGTTTATCTTCACATGACAACTGCGGAAAACCAACACTTGAGATACAACTTAACCTGTTTGTATTGTATTTGCAAACAACACGTCAGCAGAATTTAAAAAAATATATGCATAGCGGCAGCTCATCAAAGTGAAGATATGGACAGAAATTGTGGTATTAAGCGTAATTGTGTGGATTACAAATCAAAATAAAGTCAAGTTTTCCAGAAAGCTCAGGCCTTCGACCGTCGGATAGTGGAACCCAATAAAAAAAAATAAAAAAATATTTATGTGTCGAATTTAGTTTGAAATTTCATTAATTTTCCTAGAAGTTCCCAAACTGAAAAACAACCAATAAAAAATATTTTCTACATTCTTGTGTATTTTTTTATGAACAAATTTATTGGTAACATTTTGCATTACATTATTGCCAGTAAAAGCGAGAATTTACTAGCACAATAACTGTAATGAATACAAAAATACAAAACCTGAAAATTTTTTCAGAATAAATATTCACACTTCTGGTACAAATATTTTCTCTGAAGACATAACTATCCTGGAACGATATTATAAAAACTGATAACTGTAAAAATTTGCATATACTTTCTAAAACCTGCAATGATCAACAAATTAGTCCAAAATTATTGACAGCATAATAAATTCAACCAAGGTAATGGAAAAAATTAAGTAAAATTAAATAATTCTAAAATACAAAATGAAAACTCAACAGTAGCTGTGACAATGGGTTTCTAAGTCCCTCATCTCTGCCATTTTAGTTAAGATAAGATAAATTTTAGATACGCACTATGGCAATAGTAGATACTATCATGGGCGTTAATAAAAAGAAAACAGAAAATACAACAAAATAGAGAAAAGTCTCCTACAATCATAGTCATTAGTGAATTGAAGGTTAGTTTTCCGAAAAATTTTCACGTCCATCAAAATTTGATGTCTCGTTTCCGCATTTTATAGAAATAATAGTAATTTTAGTATGTTTCACTGTTCACAATAATTCCGTGCTACAAATTAAAAAAATCAGTACTGAGTACCTGTTAGTACCTGTATTTTGGGTTGTATCTACAACTCAACAATTTCAGTCAGTAGCCTAAAATTTGTCACAGTCGGTTTGTTTTTATGTTTTCAAATCGGGGACGTTTTTCACTTTACATTATGGTAACGCCAAAACCAAAATTTGACTTGAGGGGCAGTAGTTGTCCAACCCTTTTTAGATTATTTTTGCGGTTTGACAGAGTACAATATTTTTCTAAATCAACTTTAATCAAGGTGTTCACCGGTAAAGCTTTAACGGTAACCATAGTACAAAAATTTTGCTACTTACAAAATCTGAGAGACTGCACTAGTCCAAATTTTTGCATAGGCAACCAGGATTCCTCAGTTTCTGTAACGTCATTGAAAAGCCCTTAGGGTTAGTTATTCAAGAACCATTTAACGACAAGTTCGCATTTTTACTAAGAAAGCTGTGTAATCAAAAAAGGTCTAGCGACCAGAACGGGTGACTCCCCGTTTAATTAAAATTCATTATCATACGTTTTCCACGTAATTCAATTATTTCCCGCTAAAATGGAATCCGTGTCAAACTGGAGATAATCGCAAAAAGAGTAAAACCTGTATGTTGATGAGGCCACCACAAATCCAACGGGTCATGTGAAAATCGCCATACAGGATACCCGCACTTGTTTTAACAGCAAGTACGAAGCTCCTATATTAAATCGAACTTTCCGGTAATGGAGGTTGTCATCCGGACGAAGAGAACGCCGTGATTGGGGTGTAGTTATCGGGCACATTGCAACGTTTAGCGGGCGTTCCGTCAGATGGGCGCAAATGGGTATAATCTGGATGACAACTGAAATTACATGGGTCCTTTTGGTTATTAAGTTGTCGTCATGGCCGCCTGCATAGCCTAGCTGTAACACCTTTTCTGACACAACGAGCGGTCTCGACTCCGCCAAGAAAATAGCTATAATTATAATAAAAACTGGATAAAAAGCGGTTAGGGCACGTGGACGAGGGGCGGTGCGACCTCCGTCTAATTACATCTTACCATCAGGTCCACCTTTATCGATGCTTTTCGATCAAGCTCCCTCACTTTACCCACGTTCAAGCCGAAGATTTGAGTTATTGGCGAAAGTATTCAATTTTGCAGGCCGTTAATTAACGCCGATTTTTAGCGAATCGAAGGCGAAAGCGTTGTTAAATAAATATGTAAAGCAGCTGATAAATAATGAGCTTCTAGAAGCAGCAACGTCGAGTCATGTAACGCAAACATAACGGATGCCTGTGCGTTTTTATGCAATTTTCAATTAGCGGAGTTGTAGCAAATGCCGATTTAAATGGATTGCAATGAATATAAATTTCATTGGTAAACGTTTCCTTGATGATACGCAGCAGAGAGTACCGTAAAACGAGCAAACACAAACAGGTCGTCAATAAGTCTTTTATATTCCGATTACGAGCTTTACAAGCTCCAAGAAACCTCGAAACGATAAAACTCCAAGGATTCAAGCAATATCGACGCCCATGCTCCTAAACGGTACCATGGGAACGAATTGCATCATAGGAGAGTTGAGACAACGAATGGTGCTGATAACCCCTGAACGAAAAGAATGATAAAAGCGACGATAATCCGGCGAAATTCACATCAGATGTTTCGCTGTCATTAATAGCCCCTTATTAACACTCGCTGACAAATGGAGGCGATATAAATAATGCTATCTGATACAAAAGTTAGCTTTTCCAAAACGGATTTCGCGACGAATACAAATGGTCCGTTGCAGCGCACAGGCGAGGATTAGGCAGTGTGTGCTGGGCACAAAATCGACATGTGGTTTTTCGGGGTCCGATAAGTACTAGCTCAACAGGATTAGATTACAGATGCGGTGCAGATGCCTCTGGAAGGGCGAGACGAGGATGTAACCGTCCGACGGCCGGCTAGCTAACAGTTTAACATTCGCGTGTGTAATTAGGCCCTTGTGGCAGATGAACCCACCCCGGGCCGGCTGCCATTACACCACAACTCACGAAAAGTCAGCAACCTCACTCACACGGGTACATCATCAAGAACAAGCCATTTTTCTCTTTCGCCCATTAGTTAACCTACGACGCCCCAACTCACATTACCTGCTCAATTACTGTAAATCACTCCGAAACAGAATTGTCGTTCACATTTAGCCGCTATGAATACTGCCAAGATCTCGACCGGCTGACGACACACACAGGGTGTTTCACCAGCTCAACCAACGTGTTTATTAGAGGTCGAAAAAAACTACTTTTTTCACAAAGGTTTTTCAAATCTATAATCCAAAAGATCTTTTTCAACAGAAAACGAATTTGTTTTTCAGGACCAGATAGTTGCAATTAACGGTGGAGGTTAATTTTTAAAAATATTA